CCCCCCAACACCGAAGACAGAGCCGCCACTGACGGCGCAGGATGTTGTGTGACAGCCCATTGCCCAGGCCTTTCTGCAGAAAGTCCAAGACGTTGGGAATAGTGGCCCTAGCCAGAGAAATGCCGAGTGAGGAGCACCATTTAAAGAAAGCTGACCAGGTGGAGTTGTAAATCCGAGTCGTCAACGGGCGCCTAGAAGCCTCGATGGTGCGTATGACTCCTGAGGACAGGTTAGCCACTGGGGCTCCGGGTGAATCAGGACTCCCTGGCACAAGACCACCTCCTCCTGCGGAATCCTCCATTGGGGAGCCACTGACAGCTGGACTAGATCCGCGAACCAGGGCCTCCTGAGCCAATAAGGCGCCACGACAATGACTAGTGCCCCCTCCACTACTACCTTCCTGAGGGTCCCTGGAATGAGGGGAATGGGAGGGAAGGCATAGAGCAGGCCCAGAGGCCACCTGCTCCAGAGGGCATCCGTGCCCTCCGCAGACGGGGATTGAAACTGGGTGAAGAATCAAGGCAGTTGCGCATTCGCCGGAGTGGTGAAGAGGTCCACCAGAGGGCTACCAAACCGCCGACAGATCCCCTGAAACAAGGACGGGTGGAGTTGCCACTCGCCATTGTCCAGGGTCGCCCGACTCAGCCAGTCCGCCTGATGGTTGGATAGACTGGAGATGTGCTCCAACACCAAAGACGACAGGTGCCTCTCTGCCCAGGCGCCGAGTCTCAGGGCCTCTAGCCCGAGAGTGAGTCTCGCCCTGATGATTTATGTGGGCCTTGGTGGCCACATTGTCCATCAGGAGAAGCACCTGACAGCCCTCCACCAAGGTCCGGAAGTGTTGCAGGGCTAGGCACACTGCCTTCAGTTCCAACCAATTTATACTGTGTTGGAGATCTGAAGCCGTCCATCTGCCCTGGGTCAAGCGAGAGCTCACCAGGGCCCCCCAACTGAACAGACTCACGTCCGTGGTCACAGTCACCTTGTCCGGTTCCCAGAAGGAGCAACCTCTTTGATTGGCCAGGGAGATCCACCAGCTGAGAGAAGCCCGGACCCCCACAGGGAGGCGGGGAGTCCGAAGAGAGTTGCTCATCCTTCCTCTCTGGAAAGGAATGAGCTCCCACTGAAGAGGCCGGAGGTGGAGTCTGGCCCACGGGACTATCCCTATACAAGAAACCATCTTGCGTAACAACTGTGACAATGAGAGGACTGAAACTAACCGACTTCTGTGAACCTTTNAAATATTAAATAATTGTAAAAAGAAAGGAAGGAAGGAAGGAAGGAAAGAAGGAAGGAAAGAAAGAAGGAAAGAAGGAAGGAAGGAAAGAAGGAAGGAAAGAAGGAAGGAAAGAAGGAAGGAAGGAAAGAAGGAAGGAAGGAAAGAAGGAAACCAACCAGAAGCAGCATTATTTTTCCAGCAAATGCTGAAATTAGCTAGCAATTGAGTTACCCTTGACTTACAACCACAATTGGGACCGGAAAATGCATCACTAAGCGATGCGGTCATTAAGCGAGACATCACGTGACCTTGACCTGTGGTTTTTTCCTGTCAGCTTCCCCAGTGACTTTGCTTCAGGGAAGCCATTTAGGAAGGTCCCAAATAGCCATCCCGTGATTCAGGGACCTGCAACCTTCATGAAGGTTAGCTGGTTTTCAAGAGCTTCAATCGTGATCGTGTAATCACAAGGATGTCCAACAGTCGTAAGCACGAGGACTGGGTGTAAGTCCCTTTTCTCAGTGCCGTTTCAATGACCGCTCAACGAATGGATCATAAGGTGAGGACTACCTCTAATACGGGAGGCAACCACTCAGTTCCAGCGGGTGAAGTTTTCCATTGTTTTTGTGTCCTCCATTTTTCCCGCAGATCCGCCTACCGGCCCAGGGTGAGTAAGATCAGCTATCGTGTCCTCCTTCGGTTCCCCCAGAGAGTGAAGAATCAAGGAACAGCGGACTTCCTCCCGGTGAAGCCGCGACACCAGTGGGAGTGGCACAGCTGTCACCAGTAAGCGAGCCAAACAGGGTGGGGATGGTTGGGCAAGGCTGACCCGTTTATCAAGCACACCGTCAGAAATAGAAATAATAGAAATAGAAGAGAAAATAAGAGAATGAAATTAAGATAGAATAGAATAGAATAGAAATTGTAATATGTAATACTGTATTTTTTGGAGTATAAGATGCATCGGAGTATAAGACACACCAAGGTTTTGAAGAGGCAAATTAAAAAAAAGTAGGTAGGTAGATAGAGGGATAGAGAAAGAAAGAGAGAGAAATACAGGTAGGGAGAGAGAGAGTAGGTAGGTAGGTAGGTAGGTAGGTAGATAAAGGGAGAGAGAGAGAGAAATAGATAGAGAGAAATAGAGATAGAGAAATACAGTAGGTAGGTAGGGAGAGAGAGAGTATGTGTAGGTAGGTAGGTAGAGGGATAGAGAGAGAAATAGAAAGAGAGAGAAATACAGTAGATAGGTAGGGAAAAAGAGAGTAGGTAGGTAGATAGAGGGATAGAGAGAGAGGGAGGGAAAAATACAGTAGGTAGGTAGGGAGAGAGAATAGGTAGGTAGGTAGATGTTTCCAGGTGTATTTATCCATGTGCTGGAGAAGAAAATTGCTGACAATCTGCAGCACCTAAGACTTTGTTTCTGCTGGCACAGCACTTGATCAATGTCATTCTCATCAATTTGTTAAAGAGCTTTCTAAAAGGAAAAAAAAAGTTTTTGCACTCTGCAAATCTCCCAAAAATGGCCTGTTTTTCTTTTTCA